GCATGTCCAGCTCCCTTGTATGTCCCCAAGTCATTAACTCTTGACTGTTACCCTCGAGTCGGCTCTTTCTCTCACCCAAGCATTCCACCTGGTGGCCAATCACGCTAAGTCTACCTGTGGGAAACGTACTTCCAGTTTTCCCATCCACTGCCCAGGACTGAGCCACCCCCCAATTCCTTGCCTCACCCACTCCCATTGGGCTCCAAACCCATCTTCCATTCTTGTTTTTAAAATTGAATTCATTGGGGGTGACATTGGTTCACAAATGCCAGTGGCACAGTTCAGAGATCTAGAACAAATATTCCAAAAATATATGTGGAACCAAAAAAGACCCTCAAAAGCCTTAGCAACCTTGAGAAAGAACAGAGTTGGAGGGATCACACAACCTGATATAAAACTACACTACAAGGCCACAGTAATCAAAACAGCCTGGTACTGGCATAAAAACAGAGATACAGATCAGTGGAACAGGAGAGCCCAGATATCAACCCACACCTATACGGTCAATTAATATTTCACACAGGAGGCAAGAGCATACAATGGAGCGGACAGTCTCTTCAATAAATGGTGCTGGGAAAAGTAGACGGGTACACGCCAAAGACGGCAACTGGACGGCCAACTTACACCACACACAAGAATAAGCTCAAAGTGGCTTAAAGACTTAAATGTAAGTTGAGAAACCATAAAACTCCTAGAAGAAAACCCATCTTTCATTCTCTCAAAGGGAAATCAGATTCTCGGTCTTATGCCTCTGCCTGGGGCAGACCACAGCTTCCTGCTGCATCCGGAGCAAACCCAGAGGCCTGTCCCTTCCAAAGGCCAGACAAGCCCTTGCGCTGCTCACGTTGCCCAGCCCCACCCCTGGTCCCGCTCACTCCGCTCCACCAGATCCGCTCTGACCCCAGGCCGCCACCCGCTGGGTCTCCCCTCTGAGCTCCGATGTGGGCATCCCTGCCTCCCATGCCACCTCCAGGCCTGCCCCTCCCTCTGTCTCTCTGCCCCAGAAACTCGCGTTTCCAGCTGCTGGCTGTCCTTGACTCCGTGTCTTCTGTCATCCCCCCTCCCGGTCCAACCACAGATCCCGCAGGCTCGAAGGAGGCCATGTCCCACCCGCACCGTGGCCACTGCATCCTGAGCCTCCGTGCCCTCTCCCCACGATCCTGCAGCATCCTAGTCACGCAGCGGCCAGAAGGTCGCTCACATGGCTCCTCGGCTCAAAACCCTCCAAGGCCAGCGTGTTCAGCGGTTAGGGCGTCAGCTGGTGCACCGAAGGGTCTTGGGTTAGATGCCCAGTGAAGGGCAGGTACCCGGGTTGCAGGGTCACTGCCCTGGTCAAGGCGTGTGTGGGAGGCAACCAGTCAATGTCTCTCTCCCACATGGATGTTTCTCTCCTCTCTCCCCCCCCTTCCACTATCTCTAGAATCAATGGGAAAAATATATCCTCCTGTGAGGATTAACAATAACAAGAAACCCCTCCAAGGCTCCCCTTCTCCTGAAGCTAAAAGCCAAATCCTCATCATGACCTGCCAGGCCCTACTTGAGCCCTGGAGGGCCAGGTCTCTGCCGCCCGCTGGCTGAGCCCCGAACTCGCGGTCTGCTGCACTCACCGCCTTCCCCAGACGTCGGGTGGCTTGTTTCCTTAGGCCTCTGCTCAGGGCTGCCCACGCCCTTCCGACAGCCCCAGCTACAATACCTGGAGCAGAGGCCTCCCCGCCCAGTTCCCTGTGCCCCCCGGTTGGAAGTCCCCGAGGACAACATATGTTTCTGAGAGAAGGGACTCAGGGCTTAAAGAGGGCAGGAGAAGTGACTCGCACCCAGGCCTCGTTGGAGCCCAGGGGTCCAGATGGGGAGCCCAGAGTCTACCCAAGTGGCCAGAGTCAGAGCATCCAAGCTCAACCCGCTGTGGAGCAACCTAAGGAGGTTTACGTACCACGGCACGTGGGTCAGAACAGAAGTAATTCCACGAGGCTGGGTGGCTCGCACTCCTCCCGGAGGCCAGAGGAGCCAGGCCGCAGCGGGAAACGCAGCGGGAAACGGGACTGGCGAAGGGCAGGTGGGGAAAGGTTCCAGCGTAAGGAGCAGTGTGACCCGTGGAACCTCGGAACCTTAGGGCGGAATGTGGATGGGCGGAAACAAGGCCTGTTCTGAGAAGGGTAAGGAGACCTCCCGCCCTGGGGCTAGGCCGGGAGTGGGGGGCGGAGTTAAAACGGCAAGTTGGTGCCAGTCCCCTGAGGGCCTCAAGGGACCTCCGCCTGAGGAGTCAGCATTTGACCTTGTAAGCACCAGGGGACACCTGTGTGCCCCAGGGTAAGAACGGCAAGGGTCTGGTGACCACTCTGGCAACACCCAGACTGGCTGGAGCAAGGAGACTGGGAGGCAGGGAGACCCACCGACCTGAGGCCCTGGGGACACCCTGGGGACACAGGCTGCTGTGGACATGGAGGAGCCGGCAGGCCCCAGGCCTCCCGGGGTGGGATGATGGAGGAAAACGTGATCCAGGAGGCCTTTGTCACGGAAACCGGGGAAGCTGTGGGTCCCCTGGGAGATCTGACCCTTTCCCTGGGAAGCCAGAAGCTTCAGCCAAACCCTCCTCTGACCTGGGCCTTCACAGGTCAATGGGGGGAGGGGGGACATTTTCTCAGCACCTGTCCCTCCACCCTCCTTGGGATGGATTCTGGTAACTCTTGTGGTCTGTGGTAAGGCTCCCTGACAGGGCCGGATGGGGTGTAAGCCGGGGCGCAGGCGGGGACCATCCTGAGAGCGGGTCACGGGGAAGCGACAAGTGGTTTGAACAAAGTTAGAAAAGTGAGTCCAGCACGCACCCCGGGGAGGAATCCGGGCCAGCAGAAGCTGCTGGGGTGCTGAGATGACGGAGGGTCCCGATGCAGGAAGAGAAAGGAGGGGGCCAGCAGCTCCCCACATCCAGACAGGTGGCACCCCAAACTGTGCCTTTCACCCACATCCCCAGCCACGGTCTCCAGGGCTAGACACCCTGGACACCTTGTCCCCTCTGTACTTCTGCAGTGGGAGGCACATCTGGGGGGGTCTTACTGTGGAAACCAGAGCCCCCACCCCTCTCCCAGGCAGGGATATTGTCCCCGCACTCCCTGTGGATACTCCGGGGAGTCCTTCGCCTCAACAGCCACTTCTGCCACCTGAGACACCCTCCTGGTCCTTCCCACCCCCCAACAGCCACCCTCAATTCCCTGCCCCGGGTCTGGGTCGCAGAGTCCACCCCAGAGCCCCGCACACAAGGGACCCTTTGTCCCTCCGAGTTCACCAGAGACGAAAAAGAGCCTGTATTGGCCACAGTGCCGGACTCCTCCCTTCGATTTCAAATAAACATTTAAAAAATCCTATTTGCAGAAGGGAGGTTACAGAAAGTCTGGCTCACCCCAGAGGTGAACCTGGAGGCAGGTGGAGGCTGGGCAGCGGCGGGGACGCGGGGGCATCGCCTCTGCGGGGGTCCCCGGAGCAGCTGTCCCGGGCAGACCGAGGCACCCGAGCGCTGGGGTGCGTGGCTCGCTGGGACTCGGATTCCGGGCGGTT